CGCCGCGCCGCCGCGGTCGCCGCAGCCGCTGGCGCGGCGGCGGCAGCCGCGGCGGCCGCGCGGCAGCAGCAGCCGCAACAGCAGCAGCTGCAGCAACCGCAACAGCAGCAGCTGCAGCAGCCGCAGCAGCAGGGCTGCAGCAGCAGCAGCAGCAACATAACCCAGCAGCAACAGCAGCAGCAGCTGCAGCGCAGCTACAGCAGCAGCAGCAGCAGCAGCAGCAGCAGCAGCAGCAGCAGCAGCAGCAACAGCACCCCGCAGCTGCAGCAGCAACAACACTCTCCTCAGCTGCCGCAGCAACCGCCGCAGCACCCACAACCACAGCCGCACCACCAGCAACAGGTGCTGCAGCAGCAGCAACAGCAGCCCCAGCAGCAGCAGACCCACCCCAGGGACGAGAGACCCGCGAGACCTCAAAGAACCCTCTCTGGCGACCAGAAGGAGGCACCCCTGCTCCCTGACAGCCTCCGGGGCACCTCTGGGGGCCAGCAGAACCCACGAGAAGACTCAGAGGTACCCTTGCTCCCTCAGCAGCAGCAGCAGGGCAGAGAAGAGGAGAGGGAGGCCGCGGCGGAGTCGGCGGAGGCTGCGGAGGCCGCTGAGTATCGAGGGCCCGAAGCGGCGGAAGCTTCTGAAGGTGCGGAAGTGGCGCAAGCCTTCACCCGTGTCTCTGGATTAGAACCGGGTGGGGAGGGGTTGGCACCCGAAAGTGCCGACGGCAGCCGCAACAGTCAGTTAAGCGAGATTCCGGAACAGCAGGGGCTCGCCTGCCGCGCCGTGCCACCCCCTCCTCCCCCTCTAATGGGCGGCGAACCCCGAGCGCTCCCTTCAGACGTCCAGGGCACGACTGACAAATAATCTTGTGCTCTGGCAACGGAAACGGCGTCGCCGTGCGTGCGCGCGCCTGGCGCAACCAGCGGCGCCCCCGAGACCGGCCGAAGTCCTGCGTTGACCGAAGGGGGCGCGCCCGGGAGCGACGGCGGGCGCAGGCCCGAGGGCGAACGCCAGCGAGAGGGGCCTCTCCCCGCACACCACAGGGCAGCGTCCGCCCTGGCTGCCGGATACGATCCGACCCCCGCCTGGCGGCTTGCGATGCGGCCCGCCTCTCCCCGCAGAGCCCCGCCGGGCGTGCGGCCGGAACTGTCGCGAGCAGATCGCGAGCCCTCCGGCCAGGACAGCGAGGCTGGTACGCCGGAGACTTGCGGCCAGAATGCGCGGCAACGCCAATGGCCTGACCCGCGCCAATGGCCGGGGCCCGCGGACCCCAACGCGGGACAGCAGCTGTGCAAAACAGAAATCGACAACATCCAGTGGGGCCTTCCCGGGGATGCACCCGGCGAGGCGATAAGGCGGCTCCGAGTCACCCTGGGGGCAATGTTCACAGGCGCCTGGCGCGCTTTTGCCGAGCGGCAGACCGTGCCTGGCAACAAAGGCGCGCTCGACCCGCTTCGGCACGACCCGCAAACCTGCCACCTCTTCCTGGAATCCTTCCGCAGCCACAAGTGCGACGTACGGGTCGTCAGCGACGCGCTGGGCCTCGACGTCGACTGGGCTCGGCTGTGGCATCTGCGCCCGCGTCGAAGCGGCGGGGCGAGCAGGGGCCACCGCGCGGCAAAGGGCCACCCGAACACCCAGGCACCCAGGAAGGGCAAAAAACAGTGGCGGGCCGTCTCCCCACAGTAGCCGTTGCTGCCCCACCTCGCGGCATCGCGCGCGCGGGGATCAGGTGCGAGGAGTGTGGTCACTGGCAGCAGGCCCGTTGCTGCCCAGCAAAACGCGGCCTGCGACATTGGGGCCCAACGTGGTTTTCCACTGCAGAGGGATCGGAGCGTGCGTGAAGGACTGACAATGGCAGCAAGCACTGTTCCCGCTCGAGGGTGCGCCACCTTTCCCACGGGTGGGGTACCTACCGAGGGGAGAGGCGGCTTCCCCCCGCCTCTCTCCTTGGGGGCCAGGCGGTCGTCGCAGCGCGTGTGGCGGAGGCGGAAGTGGCACCTTCACTGCTCCTCCATCTCATGACCCATGCGGCGGTTAGCTGCGACCCCCGATCGCCCCCCCCCCCGCTGTCTGGTCATACTGCAGTTTCACATCAGCCGCGGCTTGCTGCGATCCTGGAGGACCATCATGGGAGAGCGCTGGGATCAGGGGGCGCACCTACCATCAATTGTGACGTGCGGCGGTTATCTGAGTGTGTGTCCCGCGGGTATTCCTGGGGCTCTTGCAGACTCACATGCCATCAAATCGTGATGTGCGGCGGTCAGCTGCGACCCCCGAGTCAGCGAAAGGGGCCGCCACCGGGCTCCTCGACCCTGGACGCGCGCAGGGGCCTGCCTGGACCACGGGCTCGGAGCCTCTCACGGGTGTCGAGGCACTCGCATCCCTGCTCTGGCAGCCAAGGGCCGTCCTTCGCCACCCCCCCCGTGCACCGCGCTTCGTCTTCACGGCGCCAACTGTCGCCAGTTGCTGCGCTGGGGGCAGGTGCGTGAAGGGTGTGCACTGG